ATACGTATTGAAATATTAGAGGTGCTTTTTTTCTGCCAAATTCTGGCAGAAAAAAAGCTGCTTATTTTCATAAGCCATGTGCATGAGGTCTATAACTGTATTTTACCTGCATGACTTCCCTTTCTAAACCCATATTACTTTATGTTACAATGTATTTATAGTTTTCTAGCTTGAAATAGGACAGAGTATGTTTCAAAGTGCATCCTGATCAATCATTGAATTATTTTATGTCATTCCTAACTGACTAATGTTACCCATTAGGACCAACAAATAGATACAAATTATAATGATTGGTGCAAATATAAAGCATAATGTCTAATTGAACATCTCAGAAAAAACTGTCTACCTTGTACAATCCTATTTCACTGGTCAGTTTCTCATTTTAACCTCTTAGTTATAAATATGAAAACAGGCTTGCACAAAAGAATTAAAATGGAACAGAAAATAATAGATTTTGCTAGTTACAGGGAAGCTTTAGGCCCATTACACACGGGCGTTCCATATGTCTGTTTTTTATCTGTCCATTTACGGATGAAAAACGGACACCCAAATACTTCTTTGGACAAGCGGATAAAAAACGGATGTAAACGGGAAATTTCGAATCCAAACCGGACGTAAAAAAACCCTGATGTAAACAGATGTAAAAAAACAGGTGATGTGGAAACGGATGAAAAACGGGATGTAAACTGATGAAAAGCGGATGAAAAAACAAATGAAAAATGGATGTAAACTGATGAAAAAAAAAGCGGATGTGAACTGATGAAAAGCGATTTGAAAAAACGGATGCAAAACTGACATAAACTGATGAAAAACTGATGTGAACCAATGAAAAACTGATGTAAATTGATGAAAAACTGATGTGAATTGATTTTGATTGATGTGACTGCAGCAGCCTACAAAGTTCTCCTGCGGTGGTACTGGGTCCCGGCTTGGACTGCTCACTTTAATCCAACTGGCGGAGATAGGTGTTTCCGGAACTGTGGTCTACATGGGGACGTTTTGCACATTTGGTGGTCGTGCTCGCGATTGATAGACTTCTGGTCTAGGGTTTTTGGTTTGCTGCAAACGTTATTTCATATTACGGTCCGTAGGGGTGCAAGGGTGGCCCTCCTGCATTGCCCAATTTTGGGTCTGTCTAGGTCTCAGCAGAAATTGGCATCCTACCTATTTATTTTGGCCAAACGTGCTATAGCTCAGGCTTGGAGAACCCCTTCGGTTATTTTCCAGGGGGTGAAGACCCGGATGAATGCTATGCTGATCATTGAACAGATGTCTAGCATTCTTCAAGATTCTCATCCGAGATTCCTTAAGGTTTAAGAACCTTGGATACATTATTCCCTGCCATCCCTACCTCCTACTAGTTATGGCCACTTATAGTCGTTGCCTGTGCTAGCCCTGGATCCGTGATTCTTCTAGTCTTCCTTTCTTCCATGTTTTCTTTCTGAATCTTTCTTTTTTTCTTATTTTTTTCTATGTTTTTATATTTTCTTTTTCCTTCTTTCTAACAGTTTTTTTTATTTTATTTCTTTTTCCGGTAATATGATGGATTGCTGCTGCTATTTGGGTCGTTTGCCGCCCCTCCTTGATGTCATTGGACATTCCGTTATTTGTCTAGTACAAGTCAGCAGGATGTATCTGTTTATGTGTGTTATTGTTCTCCTCTGCCCCTGCGTGGACATATCTTGAGCTTGTTTGTATTTAATAAAAATATTGAAATAGAAAAAAAGTGACTGAACTGATGAAAAAAAAACGGAACAGCATGTGAAAGGGGCCTTAAAGTGTTTCTTTTTCCACAATGGTTAAGGGGTCTCCAAACATTGCACTGCTTATAAATAGACCTCATAGTCTGTTTAGTGGGATTTGTAATGTAAAGCTGGTAATGCACCATCCCAAATTTTAGCTGTGGGAAGGAGTTGGGTGGAAAAATGTCAGTCAAACAGTGGCTGCAACCAATCAGATACAGTCACTGTTTGGAATTTTGACAACCATGAGTGACAACTGTCAAAATACAAAAACAAGAGGGGAGATTTCTTAGCATGGATGTGGGAATAGATAGATTTTGATCAGTCTGCAGGAGTGAATGAGAGAAATTTTAGGCTAGGTTGAGATGCACAGCTAAGTTGCCATGCCTTTGAAAAGCGATCTATATTCAGATCACTTTTAAGAAGCATTGGACAGGTGGTAAAAAGGCAATATGGTGCCTTCTTACTGCCCCTTTTACTCCATAAATGCTGCACCAACAACACGTCCCTATTGGATTGAATGGGTCGCTTTCATCGGCGGTACTGCCTTCCAGATCTGACAGAGGGGATCATTTTTGCTGCAGGTGCAAAGAAAAGCATTGTGACCACAGCATGAAAACATACCCATCTACTGCCTTGCAGCTTAGGAGGGGCAATAAAAACATGGCTCAATCATGTGTTTGTAACCCCCAACACTCTAAAAATGATCCTTTAGATCAGGGGTGTCCAACCTGAAGCCCAAGATAGCTATGAATGAGGCCCAACACAAAATTGTAAACTTATCTAAAAATGTTAATTTAGGGGGAATTTTTTGTAAAAATGCATTTACAGTTAGTGAACACATGCAGCCGAAGAAAACATTGACAGTATCTCTTTACTGGACTTTTATAAGCTTTATCTTCCCAAAGAAAAAAAACCCACCTCTTCACAATCACACCTTATTCATGTCATCAATTTTCAGCAGCACCTGCACTATATTGCCAAAATTATTGTGACGCCTGCCTTTACACACATGAACTTTAATGGCATCCCAGTCTTAGTCCGTAGAGTTCAATATTGAGTTGACCCACCCTTTGCAGCTATAACAGCTTCAACTCTTCTGGGAAGGCTGTCCACAAGGTTTAGGAGTGTGTCTATGGGAATGTTTGACTGTTCTTTCAGAAGCGCATTTGTGAGGTCAGGCACTGATGTCGGATGAGAAGGCCTGGCCCGCAGTCTCCACTCTATTGCATCCCAAGGGTGTTCTATTGGGTTGAGGTCAGGACTCTGTGCAGGCCAGTCAAGTTCCTCCACCCCAAACTTGCTCATCCATGTACAGGTGAAACTCCAAAAATTAGAATATCGTGCAAAAGTTCATTTATTTCAGTAATGCAACTTAAAAGGTGAAACTAATATATGAGATAGACTCACTACATGCAAAGCAAGATAGTTCAAGCCGTGATTTGTATAATTGTGAGGATTATGGCTTACAGCTCATGAAAACCCCAAATCCACAATCTCAGAAAATTAGAATATTGTGAACAGGTGCAATATTCTAGGCTCAAAGTGTCCCACTCTAATCAGCTAATTAAGCCATAACACCTGCAAAGGGTTCCTGAGCCTTTAAATTGTCTCTCAGTCTGGTTCAGTAGGAATCACAATCATGGGAAAGACTGCTGATTTGACAGTTGTGCAGAAAACCATCATTGACACCGTCCATAAGGAGGGAAAGCCTCAAAAGGTAATTGCAAAAGAAGTTGGATGTTCCCAAAGTGCTGTATCAAAGCACATTAATAGAAAGTTATGTGGAAGGGAAAAGTGTGGAAGAAAAAGGTGCACAAGCAGTAGGGATGACCGCAGCCTGGAGAGGATTATCAGGAAAAGGCCATTCAAAAGTGTTGGGGACTTTCACAAGGAGTGGACGGAGGATGGAGTCAGTGCATCAAGAGCCACCACACACAGACTGATCCTGGACATGGGCTTCAAATGTCGTATTCCTCTTGTCAAGCCACTCCTGAACAACAAACAACGTCAGAAGCGTCTTACCTGGGCTAAAGGAAAACAGACCTGGTCTGTTGCTCAGTGGTCCAAAGCCCTCTTTTCTGATGAGAGCAACTTTTGCATCTCATTTGGAAACCAAGGACCCAGAGTATGGAGGAAGAATGGAGAGGCACACACTGCAAGATGCTTGAAGTCCAGTGTGAAGTTTCCACAGTCTGTGTTGATTTGGGGAGCCATGTCATCTGCTGGTGTTGGCTCACTGTGCTTCATTAAGTCCAGGGTCAATGCAGCCGTCTACCAGGAGATTTTGGAGCACTTCATGCTTCCTTCCGCAGATGAGCTTTATGGGGATGCTGACTTCATTTTCCAGCAGGACTTGGCACCTGCCCACACTGCCAAAAGCACCAAAACCTGGTTCAATGACCATGGGATTACTGTGCTTCATTGGCCAGCAAACTCGCCTGACCTGAACTCCATAGAGAATCTATGGGGCATTGCCAAGAGAAAGATGAGAGACATGAGACCGAACAATGCAGAAGAGCTGAAGGCTGCTATTGAAGCATCCTGGTCTTCCATAACACCTCAGCAGTGCCACAGGCTGATAGCTTCCATGCCACGCCGCATTGAGGCAGTAATTGCTGCAAAAGAGGCCCAAACCAAGTACTGAGTACATATGCATGCTTATACTTTTCAGAGGTCCGATATTGTTCTATGTACAATCCTTGTTTTATTGATTGCATGTAATATTCTAATTTTCTGAGATTGTGGATTTGGGGTTTTCATGAGCTGTAAGCCATAATCATCACAATTATGACAAATCACGGCTTGAACTATCTTGCTTTGCATGTAATGAGTCTATCTCACATATTAGTTTCACCTTTTAAGTTGCATTACTGAAATAAATGAACTTTTGCACGATATTCTAATTTTTTGAGTTTCACCTGTATTTATGGACCTTGCTTTGTGCACTGGTGTGCAGGCATGTTGGAACAGGAAAGCCATCCCCAAACTGTTCCCACAAAGTTGGGAGCATGAAATTATCCAAAAGGTCTTGGTATGCTGATGCCATAAGAGTTCCCTTCACTGGAACTAAGGGGCCAAGCGCAACCCCCTGAAGAACAACCCCACACCATAATCCCCCTCCACCAAACTTTACACTTGGCACAATGCAGTCAGGCAAGTACCGTTTTCCTGGCAACTGCCAAACCCAGACACATCCATCAGATTGCCAGACAGAGAAGCCTGATTCATCACTCCAGAGAACATGTCTCCACTGCTCTAGAGTCCAGTGGCAGCGTGCTTTACACCACTGTATCTGGCGCTTTGCATTGCACTTTTGTGATGTAAGGCTTGGATATAGCTGCTCGGCCATGGAAACCCATTCCATGAAGCTCTCGACACACTGATGTTGTGCTAATCTGAAGGCCATATGATGTTTGGTGGTCTTTAGCTATTGACTCTGCAGACAGTTGGTGACTTCTGCGCACTAAACGCTGACCCCGCTCTGTCATTTTACGTGGCCTACCACTTGGTGGCTGAGTTGCTGTTGTTCCGAATTGCTTCCAATTTGTTATAATACCACTAACAGATGAATGTGGAATATTTAGTAGCAATAATACTTCACGGATGGACTTACTGCACAGGTGGCATCCTATCATGGTACCACGCTTGAATTCATTGAGCTCCTGAAAGCAACCTATTCTTTCACAAATGTATGTAGAAGCAGTCAGCATGCCTAGGTGCTTGAATGTATACACCTGCGGCCATGGAGGTGATTGGAACACCTGAATCCAATGATTTGGAGGGGTGTCCCAATACTTTTAGCAATATAGTGTATATTGGTGAGCAACTATTTTCAAAGATGGAGCACATGAAGGGCAAAATTAGAACCAAAATGTCTGATGAGCACCTTGAGAATTCATTTCTACTACATGCATCGAATCAGATATTGCTGTGTTAGTTTATCAAATATCACACTAGTTTTATGTTGCCCTCTTTTATAATAAAAAATATTACACAAAAAATGAAGTTTTATTACTCAGATAGGTATATTATCTATATCAGAGATCACTAATTTGTGATCTGCCTGACTTTTTCTGCTTATCATCTATCCTTATTGTTATTGTATTTTATGTGTGGCCCAGGAAAGTCAAAAGGTTGGGCATCCATGCTTTAGATCAGTAGTCTCCAAACTGCGGCCCTGGGGCCGGATGCGGCCGATTGCTTGCCTTTATCTGGCCGTTGAGAAATTATTCCTGCCACTGACACTAACAATAGGGCATAATTCATACCACTGACACCAACAATGAGGCATAATTCCTTCCACTGACAACAAAAATTGGGCTCTATTCCTCCCATTCACACCAACTATTTCTCCCCCTAATACCAAAGATCGGGCATGGTTTACTCCCACTGGGCACAATCCGGCAGTAAACTGGCCCTTTCTTTAAAAAGTTTGAGATTGTATGGCCAGGTTACTGCAGCATTTGCTTCTCTGTGCTTCTAAAATGTACAGGAAATTTATATTGATTTTAGGTTTCCTATAATTAGCAGAAGAGCTATGTTCGGCATAAACATACAAAATACAATGACAGCAATGGGCTGCATATCTAACTACAGTGACAGTCAGGTGCAGAGAGGTAGCATTTCATAGACACTAGCAGTGTTCATCCTGAATAATACCAATTTGCATTTGGGGGAATACATTCCTTCTGGATTCCAAGAATGCCTATTGAAAATCTGAAGATGACTATTATTATTTATTTTATTTTTTTTACAAATGTCCTTGCTTTGTTTGTTTCCTCTGGTTGTACTATTTGTGATATTAGAGAAATTATGTTTTCTATCAGTGGCCCCATACACAGAATGATCCACAATGACAGTAAAAACAGCAACCCTACTTATTGAGCTTTATGGGGAACACACAGATCTGGCTGACAGGTTAATGAATTGAAAATTAGCTGGGGAATATTTACCAGCAGCCTCATAGCCATAAACAGCACTTACCCTTTCTATCTGTCCACCCCCCTTCAGCACTCCCACTAGCAGATCAGTTTCCTAACCATTATTGAGCAGGCATTAAATTTTCACAAAGCATGGAGGCAGATACTAGGTTTCTATTAACTCTTTACACATTGGCAGCCTCAATAACCCACATCAAAGGTACATGAAGGATCCGTAAGGTGTGATCAAAGCAAGACTTCCTAATCTAGGGGGGTAGGCCCTATGAATGATATGCTGGGCCAGCCCTGGATTTAGGTTAGGTTCACACCTATGCAGTTTGCGTTTGATCCATTTCTGCAGTGCATTTTTTATGCGTTTTTAATGCATTTTGCGTGTTTTTTTTATTGCTAGGCAGATTAAAACGCAGCAAAAAAATACACTACATGCTTTTCTGCAGCGTCTCCATTGAAGTCTATAGAACCAAAAACTTAACTTTTTGCGTTTAAAAAAGTCCCTGACCCTTTCCAAAAAAGCACCGGGTGAAAACGCAGAGATGTGAACGTGTGGTCCCATAGGAAATTATTATTATTATGTTATTATTATGTTAAATGGACTTAAGTGCGTTTCTGCAAAATGCTGTGGAAAACGCTTAGATGTGAACCTAGACTAACTCACTGCATGCTAGACTACTTACCAATCCAACTGCTCTATTGGAAGTCTATGTTTAGAATAATGCCACCAAGACCACAGTCAGGGAAATTCATTACAGTATTGCAGATCTGACAAAAAAGACCAGCTTTTCCAATTACTACATTTTACAATGATGCACTTCTTTCTGAATTGACCTTGAAAATATCACAAATATAAGAAGATATATGCTGGCTAATAGACTGCCATATTGATGAATATAGGCGTTGTTATTGCATAGTAAAACTCACTAATTGCAGATGGCACAAGCAGCTGACAGTTTGCTTTGTAGGTGGAAATATGCCCTGGCATTGCTTTGGTGGAGTTCAAGGTCTTGGTCAGCATGGGATGACTATGGGTACCCTTAGGCCTCATTCACCTGGCTCTACGGGGGCTGTAAAGCATGCAGAGCCTGGTAATGATATTCTCAGGACCTTCTATAGCCACGTACAGCCACCTATTGAGAAGGGTTACAGGAGGAACTGTATGAGATTGTGCGCTGGGGTTGTGTAAAGCACCCACATAAGCACTGAAGTATGCTCCAAATGCAGAAAGCGTGCATGTCATTGCGCATTCAGGCGCTTTACATGAACCTCCAAGCACAACTTTATACAGCCACCTCTTCTAATGCATAGCAATGGTGGCTGCACGTGACACAGTAGGTCCCGGGAATGTCATTACACAGACTCTTCATGCTGTACTGCCTGTTTGCATGAAGCATTAAGCCCCAGCTCACACTAGAATGCGGAGTAGGAAACCTGTATGCGTTTATTGCACCACATTCAAAGTGCACTGCCCTTGTGATCTGCAGTGGACAACAGTGTAATGTGAACAACACCCCAAATGCAGTACGTTTGCCTGCACTAGATCGCATGGTACAAAATGATCAGAATTGGTGCATGCACTACTTTGGTGCGATGAGCTTCCTGTGCGACTCGGAGTGAGAGCCTAGGCTAAGAGGACCTGAACCCCCTGGATACACAAGACAGCATTGCTCTCTTTCCTCCTTAATCTAAAACAGCATGATTTTTTTCTTTGTTATTCTTTTTGTTTTCCATTTTTATGGTCCTTTCTGCCCCTCCTGGTTGCCATTTTCACCTAGGTCAGTATGATGTCTCCTCTGCGGTGAAGGCCCCTGGAATATGTACATCACATATCCCAGGGTGCTTCACATTCCATTGGCAGCAGCCATTCCAAGGACAGGCCTGGCACACATCTTCAGGGGACCAGGCTGCCTGAACCAGGAACACCTGATGACAGCAGGAACAAAGATGGCAGCACAGGACACGGCCTGCAGCAGCATAGTGGCAGATTATAGCAGGTTAACACTGGATCCATTGGGCAGGTGAACATGTGAACTTCGGACAACTATGGGTTGCAAAAGAGAAATGACTTGATCTTTATTAACACTAAAGAGCATGCAGTAATCTGTAATGCCGGCTATTGTATTCCAACAGCCAGCAACCGAGCAGTGACTGCATCTAAATGGATGTTGACTCTGTTGGACTGAGTATTTGCCTGGCTCCTTCAACAAAAGTTGATGAAAAATTCTAATTTTAAGGAATCTTGAGACATTGCCCGTTGACTGCTCATGATGCCATCTCCCACCAATGGAAAACTACTTCTCTTCCACATCTTTAGGAGTGGGCCCAAATACTCAACGACATCATGGTGATGGAGACCCTGATAACAGAGGACAGCACTGACCATATGGACCTGTCGGCAGGCATATACTGACTTGGACAATATCCGAGCCTTGGTTGCACAGTGAACTAGACAAATCCCCTTAGACCATTTCATTCTTTGAGTGTTTCCAGAACTTGCAGGACCCCCAGACCATTATTTTGTCCTAGAAAGAGGATAGATCCTCCATCCCTGCTTCTGATGACCCGACTTCCCTGGTTCTCCACCCAGTTCTCCTCCCTATCCCTCCCCTCCTCCCTTTATCCTGGGAGGTTTTTTTTTCGCTTTTTGCTTAGGTCCTTATTTATTCTTTCTTTCAGGGTCTTCGGTTTTGCATGTAAGGCCCTCAACCTAGATGTTTAAACATGGCACAGAACCTCATATTATATCTGCTGACTTATATACCTTGAAATCCTGAACATGAAAAGTTATTTGACCAAAAAAAAAAATCAACTTTTCTTTTGCTGGGTGGTGCTGACAGAGCCACCCATGGCTCAAATTGTGGCTGATTCACTGAAATTGGGTGAAAGTTGAGCTGTGTATGGCCAGTTTTTACAATTAATCTAAGCACAAAATGCTATAACAAATATATCCCTCTGCAGTAAAATGGACAGTTGTATATTTTACTGAAGCAACTGTGACCGATATGCATTACACAGAAGATCTGGCCTACTGACAACAAGTAGCAGCTCCGATAGCATCCTGCAGTGATGACATTTGGGAAAATGGTATATAACAATTTATGATGCAGAAAAAGGCATTTCCATTTGCATGGTTTCATATATAAATGCCTCTAGAAAACCCTAGGAACAAAGGTCCATTTAAAGGACATGCACCTTCTGTGTGTACGCTCCATCAATAAACAATTACATCTCTAATGACAAAGGCTCAGGGCTCTGGATGAGACAATGTTTTCTATAAGAACTCTATTCCCACATGCTGACGCCGTCACAATGGATGGAGTGTGTCGGTTTGCAGGGTTCTCCAGGCACTGAGCACAGGACTGCTGTATGAGATGTATGGAGCTGCCTCCAACAGACCACTAGTGTCATCTGCAGCCTGTTCCTGCCCCAGGAAATCACTCATATATCCCAGCTGGATGTACTACACTCTGCGCCCCAGGGAGGGGGTCCCTATCAATGGAGGAACACCACTACAGAGCAGTATACCCACTAATGATCCGTCCAATGCTGCTCACCACTATAGAGCAGTGTACACACTATTAACCCCTGCAATGCTACACAGCGACAGAATAGCAGGGGACATACGACTAACCTGTGCAATGCTGCACAGCACCAGTATAGCAGTGTACAGTACACACTATTAACCCCTTCAATGCTGCCCAGCACCAACATAGCAGTGTACACACTATTAACCCCTCCAATGCTGCACAGCACCAGTACAGCAGTGTACACACTAT